TCATTAGCCTATAACTCACCTATAAATCAGGCTAGATCAGACACGTACAGGCTATATGGCTCTTCTCATTCATCACTGCGGGAAAAATATAAATTCCAGGTTCTAATTTGGCCTTAGAAAACCAGTAAAATCGACATGTTTTCCATATTAATTTGTGAATATTTAAAATGTTTAATAAAGGGGCAAAAAGTCATTTAAACAAAAATCTGAAAAAGTCTGTCGATATTTACTTTTTTGCGCAGCAGTTGGTGAAGCCAGTTCAAATTAAAATTTTGTTCAACTTTGCGTTTTAAAAAGACAACAACCGTTCATTTTTCATTTTTCAGTTACGGGTTAAAAAAGATAGATAATAATATGCAAATCTGCAATAATGGAAACGCGACTGACAAGCAATGATAGAAATGAATGATGATGATGACTTGTTTGGTAAGCTTCTATTTTAAAAGTTTCTTTCTCTCCCCCCAAAAATTTTCACAAGTTTTGCCAGGTTTAGCCTCAGTTATGAATTAAAATGTGTTTATTGCAACTAATGTAAACTGTAGAGATGCAACCTGGTCATTAAAATAATTTCAAATGGGATTTTCTTTTCAGTTTTTTTTTCTTCGTTTTCTCCCCCGCCACTTTGGCGGCCCTCAGTTCAATGTTGGGTTCCTAAATTGGCCCTCACCTATCAAAACTTTGAGAACCCCTGCTTTAAAGATATGTACTGTAATTGAAATCCACATATGCAAGATAAAGTGGAATAAAATAAACACTTCATTGTGTATGGATATCTTCTTTCCACTACTCTGAGAGAAGACAAGTTATGGAAGGAAAATACATGCAGCCCAAAATTTCAAAACTGACCAGTGCGTGAAAAAACAATGGTTTTGCCACTATTGTCTTGCCTTAAGGCAAATGGCTCGTTTACATGTAAGCTAATACAGCTAGTGCAAAACAGAAGGAGCTGCAAACACACATGATTTTGAACTATTATACATGCAAACATCTAATTTTAGAATAAGAGCTTTGATATTGCTCAATTATGTAAGTGATTTGTAAGCCCTAATGCTGCTGCTTTTAAGTGGAGTGTTTTTACATTTGGATTAGGGTGTCTTAGAAAAGGTCCATTTTCACACACCGCCGCACTGTGATTGACACATGCATGGAGCTCTGACTGACAGCCTCTATAGCTCCATCCCCGACCCCTGGAGTGTCCTCAACAGTGCCTGTCCCCGCCAGACAAGGCCCTCATAGGGGGATTCACTGGTTACAGAGGCCACGAGGTCAGGATGGTAGAAGATCAACCGACCCCATCCCTTCTTGCTCTTTATTAGCTGGGTTAAAGGTTAAGAAAGCAAAGAGCATCCCTCCAGAGTCAGTTTCTTCTTGGGTGAAGAACTCTTTTCTGACTTTTGACAGTCCTGGTTCACTGTATCCCATGACACATCTTGATGAACCCTGTGTCATTGCACATAACCTCTTGTTTGAGCACACGTTTCATGAAACAACCCAAATTGAACTGTATATATTAACTAAAAACCATAATGCAAAACAACTTTTATAAACCCTAGTCTACTTTGATGTTAAAAGTTTCACACTAATTTCAGTCTGTTCTTCACACAAATCTATCCAACGCTATCTCAAGACCAATTCGTACTATTGAGTAAAAGGTGGCTTATTCGTACGACGACCTCACTCGTACGAATTCGTACGATTTGTCTAAACCCCAGTGATGAGTAGGTTTAGGGGCGGGGTCAGGGGTAGGTCATTCGTACGAATTCATACGAATTGGGAAACACGTAAAATATGTACGATTTAGCAAAAATCGTACAAATTCGTACGAGTGAGGTCATATGGATTCATACGAATCAGCCATCTCGTACAATACGTACGAATTGCTGTGAGATTGGGTTGAATCTATCGTGTACAGTAGCTTCTGAAGACTATTCAAATACTAGAATACATATGGTAACTTATGCTATTTTTTTTTTATATATATATTTTAAATAGGTCAGACAGGGTTGGAATGACATGAGGGTGAGTAAACTACTTAAATTTTTTGGTGAACTATCCTTTTTAATGGGTTAAATAAATATCAAGAACCGTGTGTCTGTAGACGCCAGACTGATGTATGTACTGTACATATGAATGTACTCACACATAAAGGCAAGACTGTATTATTCATGCAGAGTCTTCTCGTATAGACAAAGCAGAGAGAGAGAGAGGGTGGGCTATTAAGATGTTGGGGAACAGGCTTAATGCTTTTGAAGCTCTGGGAAAATGATGCGTGGTTGTGTGTCTGTGATGAACAGCACAAATGGTGATTCAAACACATCTTATACACACTCTCACACATCTGAAGTAACACACACACATCTCTAGTCCCTCTTTTCCAAGGCCATTAGTACGAGCTGGCCTTGATTACTTATTTATGAGGCAAACAGGCAGAAGTGTGGGGAGTGGAGTAAAGAGACAGACAAAGACTGACCGGAACCCCTCGACACTGAAACTGTCCATGCATATACAGTATTTGCTACTTCACAGCATTTTCTTCTAAACAGATCACTTATGCACTTAATAATTCCTTCAGGTATCTGCAGAATAGCAGTCAAACGCCACAAAACTACAGATGCAACCATGTAGACTCAACATTGCAGCTGTGGGTAGTGTAGCCTTGCATTAAATTTGATCTTTCCTAAACATCTCGAATCAAAAGCAATTTGATTTACAGTCAGAATTCTAAATTGTCACAGAAGTAAAAACAAGTTTTGTACACAGAATATTTGAAAACTTTTTATTTATTATCCATGGCCACATGGCCATATCCACCAATCCTCTTTGAAAAAAGCTGAAATCATCACATGGGTCTTTTCATTCAATGTCTTTTTATCATTCACCCAAAATAAATACATAGCTTTTCTTGCAACCATTTAAATAAATATCTGTGGCTTTATGATAATATCAGCAACAAAAAAGTGTAAAATGTATATATATATATATATATATATATATATACACACACATATATATATATATATATATAATAGATTCATTTGTATAGATTTATATATATATATTTATTTATATATTCTCCTTTAATTCTTTTACAACTTACAAGATGCCAATTGTACCAAAGCAATACTTACTATTACAACATGGTGAACTTTTAGTGGTTAACTTAGAGACTGCGGACAGCACCCGTTAGGCATTCTTGTAAATTGTATGTACCTGCACACTGAAACCCCACAGCATAGACGCTCCTTAGAGGAGCCATTCTCATGGGATGCAACTGTGGAGGAGAGGTATCTTCTCACTATTTCATACTGTGAAAGTTTGCCACACACTCTGATAGTAATGCATGTTATTTACTCTCATGCCAGTAAATATTGAGTAGTTAGAAAAACATATGATTGGCTCTGGAAGCATGTGTGTGACTTTATCTAATCTTCTTTTTTCTTTGTGGAAAAAATATATTTCAGGCTGTTTAGGTCTTGCCTGAACACCACAACATATTTTAAATGAGTTCTGAGTAATTGTTTCTGTTCTTAGGACAAAAGCAATTTATGATAGATAGATATGACCAATAAAAGAGAATTCTCACATTTCTATGGAAATTTACTGTGCTGCGATGCAAAACAAGTGTTATGCACAAGGGACCTCTCCTCCACAATAGAAAATCAGCATTATGGTTAGTCTTAAGTATTAGCCAGGTCTCTGACAAGGTTAATGTCCAACAGTAATAGAAAGTAATGGTAATAATAATAACCAGATTAAAACAAATGGAATAAAAATACAAATACAATAAGAATTCTATGTACATACAAAAATATAGCAAAGGAACTCACAAGGATGTGCATTTTTGGGGAAAACACACACACTTGAAACGGATTTCATTCATCTTGCTTCCCAGTTTTGGATGCCAGTGCATCTGTTTCATCTTGTTCCCAAGTGTGGTTTTCTACCTCGTTCTGGCCAGGTGACTAAGCCCTTGTCTCAATACAATCCCTTCTCCCTGTCAGATGACACAACAGTTTCCATTAACCTCACTTTCTGCGAAGCAATCAGGGCACACCAGAGAAGCTCAGGAAAGGCCAAAGTCTTTAGAGATACTCATGCCTCGTGTATAGCAGAACTGGGGAACCACAGTGGCTTCATTTTGCTGATACTACTCGGATGTGATGATAACCTAAAGCATGGTCCCACAGGTTTTCTGGCCGATTTGTCCAAAGTAATGGCTTGTATCTCATCCTGACTGTCAAAGGTGGACAGACCGTCCCTTTTGATGTTTGGTCCCACAGCGTAGTTGGATGCAAAAACGGTCAGGGATCCTATCGCTGATGTTCAACAGTTGGAAAGTACAATGGGCAGCTGAGACAAAATGAGTTGAGGATGTAAGAGTGCTTGGGAGAGGTTGGCGTCAGGCTGCCCTGGCCCGGAAACCTGACCAGACACTTTATCTTTCAGAGTAGCTCCTCTAAAAATAAAAAGAGAGGCTTCTGCTGACAGCAGATGCCGGCCTGAGACTGCACACACATGCACATACAAACGCACACATATTCCCTTCTTCTTATTTACACACTCATTCGCACACAATGTCTCTCTTTACCGCCTCTCTTGAAACACATCCCTCTTAGGTGAGCTTAATTTTCTGATTTAAATGGTCCTGTTTTTGGTGTCAAACAGAATTGACTTACATAGTCAAATTTTGGTTGGGCTCTCCTCCCTAACCAGTGCCCTGTATCCACTTAAAGTCAGAGTGAACCAGCTTGCTTACAGTTTTTCCATTCAGCAAGGCTGAAGAAGACACACTCAGCGCTGACTTTCTGTTGAAAGCAATGCCTAGATGATCATTTTACTTAGTACAGCCTCTGCATTTATTTTGATAGCATACTCCCTGTGTTACATTTGGTTCACATTACCCAACTCTATCTTGGAAAGTCCAATAAATAAATAAATAGACAAGGGTTTACTAAAGAAAATAGGGGGGGGGGGGGGGGGGTCATACAGGGTTCATACATGATGATAAACATGATGCAGGGAGGCCTGATTGGTTTAGAGTTGGTCAGTTCATTTAGCAGAATTTCCCGGCTGCTTCAGCAATAGAGGTGTCTCCTTGAAGGAGAATTGTGAGAGGCTCATTCAGCCTGTCATACAGGCTTCTCCAGGGTTTTACGAAAGGGTGCAGGGTTGGTGGCAGAGATCTTGCGGCACACAGTGTTGGTGTTGCTACATCGGCAGCCTGGACGTGTGGCGCGATCGTAGCCACGCTGGCATAAAGTGAGGCACAGCTTGGCAGGAGGGTAGCAGCACAGGCAAGGCAGGCAGAGCGCCAGGAAGGCCAAGGCACTCCAGCGGGAGCAGGCGTGAGCCGGGGCACAGGAGCATGGTCGGTCAGCACAGTTGTCCTCCTTATCTGCCGAGCAGTGGTAGAACAGACCCTTCACACAGCACAGGCAAGTGCCGTACTCCAAGAATTTTTCAGCTGAGCACAAGCAGCGCTGGCCACAGGTCCAGCAGGAGGGCAAATTACGAGGGGCACAGCACTCCTGGCACTTACAGTGGCCGCAACGTTCACAGATGAAGAGATGCAGGCCCAAGTCCTCACTGTCAGCCAATCCTTTGCCTAGTGAGTCAGGTTTCAAGTCACCTTTGGGCTGGGACCGCACCACAGTGGCCAGACCAGAATGGGAAGGCGTTAGTCCTGTAAGAAGTCTCTGGTCCGAAGCAGCACTGCCGCGGGACATGGAGCTCACAGTACTGGAACGACTCAAGTAGGCCAAGTGGGAATGTTGATGCTGACTTTGACTGCGAGACATCTGAGGATGTCGCTCATCATGCACATAGAAGACACCAACCTGAGTGGCAGGCTCCAGCGCCACAGGGCGTTCCACATAGTCATTATTAGCCCTTATAGCATGGATCTGGTCAATGGACAAAACAGGGACCTGCTGAAGATCCAGGCTTTCAGGGTCCATCCGAAAAGGTGGTACGGGATCCATTCTTTCAGGGCCACCAGTGTAGGGGCTGAGCTGCAAGGCTGACCAATATCAGGGTACATCGGATAAACCTGTAGAATGAAAAGATAAAATAAAACGATTAGTGTTAGATTTAGAATCAAATTAAATGGTTGAAGTTCAGATGGTCTATGGCTAAAGCTATGGTTATTATTAGACACAGAGGATGGAGAGATAACGCCATTGACATCACACTGTAATTTAGCATCTGGAGAACACAGCTGTTGACACAAGGGAAAGGAACCAGAGCAAAGAATTTGACAGCAATGAATTGTGAGACACTGGGGAACCCAAAAGAATTAGTGTTAGTGTCCTGAGGTATCTCTTCCTCAGCAGCTTGGTGGAATTTTGCCCCTCCCTGCAGCCCTTCTTTTGTTAGGCCTTATCCTTCATAAACAGGAACAACATGGCTTTTGGAATGTGCATGGAAATAATCAGCATCCTGGAATTGAGAAACATGTTGCTTGCATTATTGGACGTCATAGGCAAACAAGACATTGGATTGCATTGGATTAGATAGCGATGGGTTTTGTTTTCTTCCATCAATAAAAGGAGAGATAGAAGGCCACTTTTTGATGTTTGTCAGACTCTCAGACTGTTCCAAAAGTCAATGTGTGATAGGGAAAAAAGCAAACATTTTAGGCCGCCTAGGAAGAGATTGGACATGAGAAGAGAGCTGCTTCTGACATAACAAGCAATGGAAATCCATACACAACAGCAGTGATTAGAAGAAGCAGTGTCTGCTCCCAGTCCCTCAAGCATCCGGGGCACAGTCAGCTGAATTCCTGGCAAGAGCCCTGAATGCTCTCGCAAAAAAAAAAAAAACGAAAAAAAAAAAACTAAGATAGCATCCTCCCCCGCTCCCACTGCCCAGCCAGAAACTCAAGATAAGGAGGCCCAGGTCGGAAGCACAAAATGCATTTGCAAATTACACAGAGGAGGAAAGAGAAGTCCTGGAGAGTAATTACATCAAACCCAGCAGAGAGCTGTAGTCAGGTCCTATCAGTCCATCTAATTGTTGAAAGGGGTCTGCTGTTCATTTCCATGAGCTCATTATTTGGGGCCTGAGTTCGAAAACAACATTGGACTTTTAGTCTCGCATCTGCGGGCAAGCCAGAGAGGAAGTTTTGGGTTAGCTCATCTGTGTCATGTCAGGCACTTTGGTTGCATATTTGTTTGAGCATTTGCACATGTCCTCTCCATGTGGTTTTCCTCAAGTGTGTCGGCACTTGGGAGCATTTATCACTCGCGGCTACACTGGAGTTTATTTGGAACTTTCCACTGACTTGCAGAGATCTTGTGTAAAAACAGACCCAAATTACACCTCAAAAAGATGCATTTCCTGGGCTCTGAAAAATGGTACAAAGAAAAATTCTGAAATACTACTTTTTAATTAACTGCCGCTCACCATTAATTCCGTCCACAAAAGTTCCTCTCAAGTTATCATCAATGAAATAGCCATTTATCCTATGAGTTACTTCCCTTGAGCCAGACCGTTTGGAAAGCCACCATCCATTAACCGTAAACTGCCTCCCACTAGAGTTCACCAACCACTTTCATGCTCTGTCAATGAGTATAGTAAATTTGTAAAATAAGCTGTGAAGCAGAAGACCAGAGCAGAAGCTGCTATATAAAAGCCCCTGAAACATTCAGCAGCAGCAGTCAGGGAGCCAGAGGGTCGATAAGTCACACTACAGTGGCATAGCAGGTAAGGTGCTGACATCAGGAAGTCCAGCAGATCACCCCAACACTTAACCCTCTGGGGTCTGAGGTGTTTTTGGGGCCATTTGGATGTTCTGTGATGCCCTTACATTTGTGCTTTTTTCAGTTATTTATAAACATGTTAATGGCAAAGGTGTAAATTCACTCTATATAGCACAAACAGGGCTACCATAATCTGTGAGCAACTTGTATGTACATTGTTTGTATTTTTAAGAGAATATTGTTTATGCGTGGTTATTGAAAAAAATTAAAATGAAAGCTGCTGAAATAAGACCACAAAACAAATACTAAATATGTGTCCACAAGACTTTTGACAAATGGATGTTGACGCTTCGAGTTCTGGCTTCAAAATGATCTGAAAATCATCCTTCCTAATCATTCACATAAACCAATAGATTGTTTTAAATTGTGAAAAACATTTTTTTGTTTGCCAAGGCAATATGCAGATGGGCGGAACGGCCCAACCCCTATCATGAATATTAAGTGGTTCTCAGACAGTGACCCTACATAATAATGAGCCTTTCATTCAGGGGTGTCACACAAGAAATAATGCAAGGACAATATATATATATATATATATATATTGTCATTGCATTCTTTCTTGTATATATATAGCCTAAATATATATATATATATATATATATATATACACACACACACACACACATATATATATATATATATATATATATATATATATATATATATATATATACAAACAATCAAAATATAAATGAAAGCCAAAAGCACATTTTTAGTCATACCTGGAAACAAATTCTAGTCAAATGCTATATGGGCCATTCTACAGAATCTTGAAAAGAAAATAGTCTTTTTCCATAAATGTCTTATAAAGTATTATTTTTTAAAGTAGACCAATACAATAAAAATAAACCAGTCGCATTTCAAAGTCGTTCGCGAAATGACCGCCAGGTGGCGCAAAGGGACATTTATCAAAACGTAAGTGGGGCTAATGTCAATTAACAGTAAGGATGAAATTCTACAAGTTATGGTAATTTGCAAATAAGCCTACAACAAACATTTATTTTTAAACAAATATTTTTAAATATGCAACATGCACGTTTAAACAACAAACAATACAATCTGAACCAGCGCTTCTGCTCCTGTATTGAGACATGCAGCGCGTTGCAGTTACGATCCGGGTTCCAGTGGCCTTAATACATTCACGGCTTTTTAAAATGTCACAAAGCGTTTTGAGATGGTTTTGAATGAAATATTGAAGTTTATAATTAGGGTATTTTGGCACACCACGCCGAGTGGCTATGCATTATTCTAAAATCTGGCTTTATTCTGGCATGTTGAATTAGAGTTTGACAAACGCGGCGGCGCGTTCATTTGAATTTATTTTTCTCATAACAGCTAAAAGAACTTACTGCGTAATTGTTGGTCATACAGATAAGATATCATCTTTTAAAACTGTAAAAGGTCTACTTTTATTCATGTAGGCTAAAGCAGGGGTTCTCAAACATTTTGGAGCCAGGGACCCCTTACAGGGGAAAAACATTTCCAAGGACCCCCTCATATTTATAACAGTGACTGAGCCTAAAGTTAATGTGGGAGTGGTTAATGAAATATTTTGACACAAATAGTCTCCACCCAGGGTCATATGCAGGAATTTCTAAATAGCCTACTGAGGTCCCAAAAGTGAACTTGCTAGGGGGGTTCGGGGGCATGCCCCCCGAGGAATTTTAGATTTTCTTGATCTACACGTGCATTTTAAGGTGTTTTTAAGGCCAAAAATTGTACTTTTTTCTTGATATACCCAGAAAGAATGGAAGTGCAATGTGACAACATGTCCCATAGGTGGGGCACATTGTAACATGACCATATGACAGATTAAAATGTTATCTGATCTAATCAAACAAATATACAAGACAAACAAAAATATTTTCTCAATAAAATACAATTATTAACTTTTTCATATAAAATAATGGCATTTTAAAACAATTAAAAATAAACTAATTTTTGAGTTTGACAACGAACACACAGCTATACAACATAGTTCAAAACATATTCATTGTAACGCAGTGTGACAACATGACCCACTTGCACAACTGGGATTTACGTTGTGCCCCGCTATCCCCTATATTTCCTTTCCCGGTTGATACTTTGCAAACTGATTGTTTCTGTCGTTTGTTTAAAACTTCTATCTAAAACAGCTGTTTAGTTTAGCGATTTACATCTCATCTCGCACTTTATGACCGAATAACTGAAGCGTCATGCGGAAATTCGCGCTCGGCTTGCAGCTTCTGTGAACATAAACCCGCCTACTTTGATTTAATCTCCGACTCAAACATTGACATTGACGAGCGCTGTTAGTCTGCTGAAACCGCTCAGATGAGAAGGTCAGTTATCATCGCAATGTTTAATATCCTTGCAGCACCAAATTAGAGTTAATATTAGGCAATTATTTCACAACTTTCATTATAGGCTACACATAGAAAAATTACAGAGGCCCGGACCTCAGGGACCTCAATTGTGGGTATACGACCCTGTCCCTATGCACAAATTTATAATTTACTGTATTCTCCAGAAAATAAGTTGGACCTGAGTGTGTAATACTTTGTTGCGTTCTTGAGGCGTAGTAGGCCTACTTCCCCTCACTCCACAGCAAATCCTTAAATTAATGGTATTCAGAACAAAACAAGAATGAAAAATAATACTATTAATAGATAATAATACAAATAATAATAGTATACAGACAACATTTATTTAAAACATCAAGTCTAAACGAATTAAGTTGAATCGAAACTGAAACTGCAGACGTTGGGCTCGTGCATCTCTCATTCGGTCCAAAGTTTCCAGATTTGCGATGTAGCCTAACATTTGGAAGCTTAACTATTTATGTAAAGAAAGCTTCATGCTTCAGTCCCAATATAGGCCTACACGTATCAGCATCTTCACATTTGGAGAAATGAGATTGGAACAACAGCAAGTCGACAGTATATGATTGACCGTCTCTGCCTTCATAGTGTACAACAGACAAATTAAATTAAGCAGAACTTTTTATAAGTTCGGTGAGTATTTTATTTTGATAATGAACAGGTTTTGATGTCAAATTAGCAGTGCTAGAACTGACATATTGTGCGCGCACATGAGACGCCGGCGCGAACACTTGGATTTTTCCTCAGCAGTGGTGTGGTCATACAGATAAGAGTACATCATTCAAAACGGCAAAGTGTCTATTTTTTATTTGTGTATACATTAAAAATGACTACAAAATGTCATGCCTTTTAAAAATAAAGAACACAACAGGATGCGCGTTCTGCCGTCTCTGTCTCCTTTCTGGCGCACGTGCCCAAAAATCGACCAA